GAATAGGGAGTTCAAGGGCGAAAGCCTTCTTCCCTTAATAAAGTGACTTAAATATATTTTTGCTGAGGCAGATTTGTTTTACCTCATTGATGAGTGCATCGTCCGCGTCTGTCCTTTGTCCTGGAGGTCTGTATGCCAGAGCAATATGGAGATCAGTTTGGTTTGGTACTCTCAGTTAACATCTAATTATTCCGCAGGAATTGTTGCTGCATGCTGACGAACTATCTGGGACGTAGTCGATGCCATCTCGTAAGAACATTGCGATTCCTCGACCCCTACGTCCGTTGCGGTCCATGCGGTAAGCTGAAATACATGTTACTGTAAACTAGGGAGGAAAATATTCAAACGTTCACATTTATGGTACATTGGAATTAACGTTTTGTCTTCTGAAGATCGGAGATGAATTGTCAGATAATACCTCTAAACTACAGTAGGCCTATCTTTTTAGCTCATATTTGCCTGTGACTTATGATAATAACATACTTTTGCGTTTGCAGCAGTCCGACTTCGAATTTTTCATTCAATTCCGTCTATAAAAGCTTGGATCATCATCATTAGGCATTACTTGCCTGAACAACAGGTTTTTACATATTTTGAGTTGGTTCTACTAATTTCATTAAAACAACTATAAGTTAGATGGACTTAATATTCTTTGAGTACTTTCAACAAAAATATATATTTATTTGTCCCCTTTAACCAAAAATTAAATGATTAACCACCAATTTCCCAACGCAGTTGGGTGGGGAATTATATATTGAGACCGCCCTACAAGACACTTTTTCCTTAAGTACATTTGTAAGTGCGATCAAAGTGTTTTCACTTGCGGATTGGGTTAGATATCACCGTGAACCTAGGAGACTGATGGCACAAGTAAACCTGTATAGCCACAGCCTTCATTTTCCTCGCACTCCAATAAATTAGTAAAGAGGTTAAGAGGACCATGACAATAAAATACAATCCATCTGAGGTTTTGTTTAGTGGAGATCTGAGACAAGTGAGTGGGCATGTGCTTTTATCCATGGTACGGACTGGAGAGGAATATTTAGTACCCCGTTAACAAAAAATGGGTTCTTTTGCTCCGTTTCTCATTAACAGTGCGCATAAACACGCTTTGGCTTAAAATCATGCGTAACTTTCAGGAATTTATAGTCCAATTCATCCATTGTCAGAATTTCCATCTTTTAATGTCTGTCAAATTTTTGTTATTCTCCAATATTTTGAAATAAGGCACAGCACAATCCGAAAGCTGTTGTTTCACACACAAATTCTAATCTTCGATTTAATTTTGGTGATGGTACGAACCTATTTGTTTTAACGCACAATAACTAAACAAAATCGGCCTTGGGCAAGGACGAAAATAAATACCTTCGATAGTTCATGAGATTACAGATTTTTAGGTAGTTACCGGCTATGATGCATGCTCCAGAAGTAGACTATGCTGTGTTTAAAGGAGTTCAGGATGTTATGAAAGACTTCGAGTTATCAATTGAAGATTATCTCGATATTAAGAATGCTTTACTGGCTGCCCTCCGGTCAGGTTTAAAGTTGAATCGCAGAGACAAGTCATCTGTCAAGATGTATCCATCATACGTTACTAGGATGCCAACTGGAAACGGTTAGTTTTATATTAATCATCATATGTACAATAGAATGTGGACAGTACCTTGCGTTGGACCTTGGCGGAACAAACTTCCGTGTGTGCCTTGTAACCCTCTCAGGCAAGCAGGAGCCACCTATTGTAGAGCAGCGTACACACTCTATTCCAGTTGAAAAAATGTGTGGGACAGGTGCAGAGGTTTGTTGTGAAATATTAAACATACTTTGTAGCTCTTCGATTACTTAGCCATGAATATCCATGAATTCCTTAGACTGAGAGGGCTCTTGGAGAAACAGTTTTATTTGGGATTCACGTACTCTTTCCCGTGCGAACAATCTGGACTTAATACTTCTTACCTTGTTAAATGGACGAAAGGCTTTTCGGCATCGGGTGTTGTCGGACGAAATGTTTCAGATCTATTACAGACTTCTATTGACAAAACCGTAAGTTATATTTTTGTCTTCTCTCATGCATCATGAATTATTTTTGCTTAATTTAAATATGCAATATTTTGAAAGTAAGACTTACGCAGCACTTTTTATCTAAGATTTTCTATAAGAAGATTAATATGTATAAGATAATCTTTCATAAACGTCGCTTAATCAGTTACGTTGTTAATGCTTCAAGGTTTGCTAATTATGTATAATCAAATGGTTTTAGGCTATTTCGCGTTTAATGGCACCAGATAAAAATTAGTTTTTTTAAAACGTTTGACGTAAATAACTAATTACATTTATTAATCTGAAGGGTGCGCATGTAAAGTGTGTGGCCGTCGTTAATGATACCGTTGGAACCCTTGCTGCCTGCTCCCTCGAAGATCGACGTTGTGCCGTTGGGCTTATTGTCGGTATGTTCCACTGAATCTCATACTATGTTTTAACTAACGAACGGCAGCATAGGATTCTTGTACTAAACTACTGTCAATATTTAGTTGTCTAGTAGTTGACTTTTCACAGCATTTTCTGTCTAAAAAAATATTTAATAACGATCAATCATATTTTTCGTTTCTGTCTACTGTAATAGGCACCGGTTCGAATGCCGCATATCTGGAGGATATCGACAAAGTTGAACTCATAACTGCAAGACGAATGAGCGGGGAATTAAATGAGGAAGAATACAAGTCTGTCAAATGTGTGGTCATTAATATGGAATGGGGTGCTTTCGGAGAGTCTGGAGAATTAGATTACTACCGTACACCATTTGATGAAGCAGTGGACAAGGAAAGTATCTTCCCAGGAAAACAAATGTTAGTTTTCGAAATGATTGTGAAAATAATTTCCAAAGCCGAATTTTGTTGGAAACCTTTTAACGAAATTATTTATATATTTTAGATTTGAAAAGATGTGCTCCGGCATGTATCTGGGAGAATTAGTTCGACAGATCCTTCTGTTTCTGACCGAGAAGGGTTATCTTTTTGACGGAATCATTCCCGATCGACTTCGGAAACGTGAAAGTTTCCATACAAAATACATCAGCGAAACTGAACGGTAATTCTTTGCGTTACTAATGTAAATTCACTTTCTTTACTTTACCATCTATAATTTAGTCATGCCCATTTGAATAATTTGCTTCTTGCTTTTATACATAGTCTCCTTTTGCAACTTACCGCTAAACATTCTAATTTTCATTTTTTATCAAGGAAACTTACGTCGGTCTTTATGTAAATAATATTTTAGCGACCCACCACACTTGCTCTACAGCACCTTATATATGTTGACGGAAGATTTACTGATTTCTTCGGTCTCCATACAAGACTGTCGAATAGTCCGCTATGTTTGTGAAGTAATTGGCAGAAGAGCCGCACATCTGACCGGTGCAGGTACGTTTTGCATCATGTATTTCTAGTAAGCCGGCAAATTTTATGTATATTGACGATTCCAGTGCTTGATTGAGAAGCACGGATTTAATAATTTCAAGAGTCTGAAATTATCGTTGACAAGGTGATATTTTATTATGTCAAAATCAATCAAAACTGTGTGGAATTGGCTATATTTTAGGCAATCTCATTTTTATAGGCATTGCAGCTGTCCTTGAGCACATAAAAAGACCAGAAGTGTCCATTGGTATTGACGGTTCTCTCTACAAACTTCATCCGCGTTTTCGTGAACGAATGACTGACATCCTTGACAAACTTCTACCTCCAACGATTCGGGTAAGATTTATTAGGATGACACGACTTCTGGCTTTACTTTATAGTAGAATTCACACATTTAGATCTTTTGATTTAATCTGGAATTTTGCCTTATTTTGTAGTTCCGCCTCCGACTTTCCGAAGATGGTAGTGGAAAAGGAGCCGCAGCCATTGCAGCCGTTGTATCAAACGATTCCTTACCATAAACGTACTGCCTTTGTCATGTAATAACTCTGCTCGCTCATCTCTTTCACCACCCATGATTTATTAGAGAACAAAACGGCCCCTGTTTCCTTCTTAACCTCAAAACATGACGTATCCTAGTATCAACAGGAAATCAAATGACACACCTCATAACGTACACCTGTACATACTACCACACAAACATTACGTTTGCTCAAAGTGGAGTTTCAAAATCTCCACTATACTTATGTCTTGTTTTGCCTTTCAAGATTTTTTAAAAGGAAATCTTTTGTCAAAGGCTTGCTTTTAACCTTTTTATAAGATACTTTTTATTAAGGGTCTTGTGGGTTAATTGTTTCTAGGTACGGAGCTATCATTCAACTTAAAATTTATTTATTAAGAGGGTTCAGCAGATTTGAATAGTTTGATTGATCTAAAATTCGCGGCCTTGGTGGGAGTCGAACCCACACAACAGAGAAGCTTTTTGTAAAAAAAATGCTTGAGGTATGTGATATGAACGTAACCAATGGATATAATATAGAAGTTTACGACTTTTAATGAAAATGTTTTCAACATGAAGAGCAAATAAAAAAAATAGATGTCGAGGTAACCCCGAAGTACGGGAAAGAGGATACTTTATTGAACAGGATGTCTAAGGATGCAGGACTGGGAAGGGTCACAAGTGAAAAACTTACCGCACTGACTTCTGACTATTAAGTAAAAGGCCATTGATTAACGATCATGCTGAGACGTGGTCTGGGTCACTTTTCTGTACCTGGAGATGTATATGACTTTTGAGACGATGACCAACAATCACATCATCAGTATGTTTAACATAAGAACATACTTTTGGCGATCGTTTGTCGTCAGTGTGGAGGAAGTAGAGGTGGGGGGATACGATAGGCCCTTGGAGCACTCCGCAGTTGTTGGTAGGACAGCATCCTATCCAGTCATATGCTCAAGACTAGAGCACTGCGCACGCAAATATTTTCGACAGTACTACTGAATCCTCGATATGTTTGTTGTGCTAACCAATTGGAAGGGTTCTTAAGAAATCTGGCAGACTTCCGTTTAGGAGTGGTGGTGAAAAACACTCATTGCTCTCGACAGCACTTGGGAAAACTGAGTTGTAGTATTTGATTGATCTCGTCGACAAAACAAACGACCAAGGTAGTAAACTAATGTCAAGCCTTATGAAGCGTCCATTTTGCACAGTGGGCTGTTCGTAATAATAATAATTTAACTTCGGCGAGTATGGTGCATCGAAGTGATAATTCTTCAAGTTGTTAGCCTACAGTTCAATCACTTAAAACCTCCATTATCATGTCCGCAACATCAACATATGCTTTTCGTTCTAAAAGGCTGAGCTAAGTTATTAACCAGAGCCCTTTTATCATTATCTACATATTACAGTTCGAACCAGGGACTGTCGTTCCTAAGAGAGAACTATACTCAATCAACGAACCTTGCACATCCTGCAGTGAGTGAACGACAGCGACCAAAGATATCAATTTCCTAAAACAGTAATTGCTTAATTAATCGTAGCAATTGAAAAAAAGACGACTCGATCGCTGAGACAATACCTTTATTCGCCTGACATTTCGATAGCCATCATGGATTCGTCATCAGAGACATAGGCAGAGTACAATAGCAGATAGGGTGGCACATGCACAGCAGTTTGCAATATGTATAGGATACAGTCATTACTGCAAACATAAGATGACAATTAATCGTAATTGCCTCCATGAGTGTTGGTGGTCTGTGGAACGGCATGCGGGCTCTGACCTGCTGACCTTTCATCACGCGCGGTGGACTCAAGCGTGATGACTGCCCAGTCAGCTGGCCTTCCGGTACTCGTATAGGATGAGGCGGTGGCTTGTCCGTTCCCCAAGCGGCGACTTGCTTTGACAAAATTGGATCTCAGCACTAAATATTGGGCAAATCGTTGCACTTGTTGATAGATTGAGGGCCCGTTAACCATGACTCGGGTAATTATCGGCTCACCCGACCGTCACCTCTTGCGAAAATTTTGGCCTCACCAAATTTGAATGTGTGGCCGGGTCTCGCCGAAAGAGTCGTAACTTGAGAATTGGCATCATTTCGCCGCACTGCTGCCGCATGTTCGGCAATT